TTTTCTAAACTCTCTTAGCACAACCAGCAAAAACTCTGAATCAGCTTGTCTCAACTGAGCTCAGCAACTTCATTGCGTGCTAGTCTTTTTCTAGTTCATCGTGTTTGGCATCCCTGAGAATGTTTTAGCAGAACCTTGTGTTGCTTAACATCAGGGATATGTTTTCTTGAGAAATGCTTCATTAGATGATTTCATCACTGTGCAAACACATACATACATATGCAAACTGAGATATAAAGGTCCATTACTCAATGTGGCATTCAGAGACAACATAAACAAGTCATTTGAAGCTGCTGCTGCTGGCATATCATGACGAACTGTTTTATAGTAATAGTAAATGTTTTTATAAGTAGATGAAGTATACTCTAAAACAATGATGACAAGTATGGCATGTAAAATAAACATAACCCAGTAACAGTTACTCATTACTATTTTCAAGTGTTAGGAACTGAGCACAATCATGTATGCTATATATTTATACTGCGGGCAGTGCAGAGTGTTGTTTACACAAGCACTGCCCCGAACATATGAGTAATGCATTACATTTCAAAGTTACAATGCCCACAACTTCACTAGGTGATGGGAATTTTTCAGCTCCATTATAATCTCATGAAGGCACTGCTGTCTGTGCAATCTGTTGTTGTTCAAGACGCCCTTATATAGCACAGGGCTCTATTTCATTCACATATGCCCTTCCTTTTTCCATAAAATGCTCTTAATCCATTTTCTTCAGTCATATTCTCATCTTCCAAATTCTATCTTAACTGTAACCTATGCCAGAAAGGCTTTCATGTTTATCCTATCACCCACTCATTGTTCCTTGGGCTCATTTTTTAATTGCACTTGTCACAACATATCAATATGGATTTCTTTGTTTATTATTGAAAAATCTCTCTCATCTGGCAGTAAGTTGCAAAAAACCACAGAGCCCAGTATAATTTACCAATTTTAGCTTACACTTCACTCCTACTGTGTTGCCTGGGAACACTGTACCTGATCATTAATTATTTTTAAATAAATGTTTTTCTACATATTTTTCCCAGAATTATGTTATCTGGCATTAATAACAAGTGGTCTAAGTAGTTTACTTCTATAACACTTTTCTTTGGAAAGATTGCAATATTTTTCAGGCTTTTTACAACTGAGATTTACAAGTTATAGCATAACATCAATTCAAAGTGCATCTTGCACATTTAACATCATTGTGAAAAGAATCAAACTTGAGCATTCATGGTCCTATCTTATTCTAAATATGTCAAATACTACTCAAGTGGCTCTGTTTTATTCCCCCTGTCATTCTGATTCAAATATTCAACCTGAATAATAAGATATTTTTTAAAGATGTTTTAAAAATGTATTTTTAAAAGCGCTCCATTTTAAAATATAGATAATTCTTTAATTCAGAAGTCAAACAGACTTTATTATCACTCATTTAATGATTCATTATAATTTGGGGGGGGGGGCTACCGGGGATTGAATTTAGAGGCATTCAGCCACTGAGGCACATCCCCAGTCTTATTTTGCCTTTTATGTGGAGACAGAGTCTCACTGAGTTGCTTAGCCCCTCACTTTTGCTGAGACTGGCTTTGAACTTGCAAAACTCCTGCACCAGCCTCCCAAACCACTGGGACTACGGGCATCATTATGATTTTTACGCAAAAGCCACACCACTACCTTAATATTAAGATCTTTGCCCATTGTATGAATAATCATACGTTAATCAAAGAGGACTAGCTTTGATAATACCCCACAAGAACAACTTAGAGGAAGAAAAGTTTACTTTGACTCAAAGTTTTAGAGGATTCTGTCCATGGCAGATTGTCTCCAAGGCAGAAACATCATGGTGGAAGAACATGGCTGAGGAGAGCTTCTCAGCTCCTGGCTTCCAGGAAGGAGAGAGAGAGAGAGAGAGAGAGAGAGAGAGAGAGAGATGCAAGGGGGAAGTTATACCTTTTCAAGACATACCTGAATTGACCTACTTACCCAAACTAGGTCCCAAATCCTAGTAGTCCATTCTGCTATCAATGGATTAATTGATCAGTGAGATCAAAGTCCTCATCATCCTATCATTGCTGAAAGCGCCACCTGTGAACCTTGCTGCACTGGGGACCAAGCTTTTGAACCATGGGTTTTTTTGCGTGGGATCCCAAATCAAAATTATAACAGATGGTTTGACATATAAAATGATCACATGGCACCGCATACCAAGATCTCAAATCATAATGTTCCCTACAGAAATAGTCATAAAGCAAAATAAGAAGAATAAACAATCATTAAATTCTTTTTCTACAAATGTAGTATTTTTGTGGTTGAAGTGACATAATTTCAAGTTAAATTAGCATTTGAAATTAAATTTTGATTCATATATATATCAAGAAACTTCAGTAGTAAACTTAGCTTCCAGAATAAATGAAAACCATGTCATCAATGATATTCTTCCTATTTGCTGGCACTGTTTTATTTCATGAGAACCTTTGATTTAGTTACTTGAAGACAAGAGGAGCAGCGGAAACTGGCATTGGTCAGTTATTGAGTTGCAGTTGAATTAAACCCTCACCATTGTTTAGCTGCAAAATTAGCATTTAAAGCTCTATCTACCAATGTATGATAGACTACAGAAGGAAAGTCTACTGCTTAGTAATATTGAGGATTAAAGAAGTGCCTTGGCTTGCATGAAATACATTATTATTGGTCAGGTGTTCAGAGTCAGAGTCTCAGTTCTCTTTTCTAACCTTGGACTATCATTGATTTCTTCAAAAGTATGTTGATTCTTAACCCATGTTTTATTATTTAGTACTAAGAGATTGAAAATAGTTTAAAGGTATTTAACTAATCTAAAAATAGAATTCATTTTTCCCCTAATCTTTCCACATGCTAATAGTTTCTGAGGAGCTAGTCATTTTCCCTGAATATTATACCTCATCTGTGGTTGACTGGCTCTGCAATTTTAGGGGTATTTCGCTTGCCTGTGCTTCACAGCTTTGTGCAGTATTTACAGCACCTCCCAGATGGGTGTCTTTCTCAATTTAATTATCATCCAGCTTATCTTCCCTTCCAACCTCATTTATGAAAATGTTAAATAAGACCAGCCATAATACCCATGTCCCTGAAGCACACTCCTCAACACCTCTTCTTAACTTGATGTGTTGCCATTTATCATTAAATTCCTTTAGCCAATTTAAGTCCCAGGAAGAATGTTAATATTGAATCCAATTTGAGCTAAATTTTAATTAAGATTTCCTGAGACATTTTGCTTAAGTGATTTACTATAATCAAAATTGATATCTCCTCTCCTACCCCCACCCTCTAATTATCTAACTTTATCCACACACAAAAGAGAACGAATTTATCTGACTTGAACAGTGCTTCATAAATATACATCATTCATTTTGGCTGTTTCTATGAATAGTTTCCTTCTTTTTTGCCTTAAGGTCTATGTCTGTCGTTCCCATGTACGTCACAGAATCATTTAATGAAATGTCTTTCCTTCTGGCAGCCACATCTGTCTACCCTAAAGTATGCAGCCACAAGATTTAGCTGTATTAATGCCAGTCTCTCAAATTTCCTTTTATCTTCCAAGTATTTTTGTTACTGCTATTTCTGTGTACAATATCAGGCTAAATGCAACTGCAGTAAATTCAGAAATTGAATATATCCCACCTATCCATGTAATCCTCTTAGGGTGTTGTATAAGAAAAACTTTGTTTACATTTCTGGGGAATATTAAAACTGAACCTTCAAATGGGCCATTAATTACTATGAAGTGAAACTGAAGTGAAGTTTCAAGGTACATGTGGACATTCACAGGGTATCAAGAAAGCAGTGTGCCCCAGAGGACTTGTCAGATTCCCAAAGGAGTCTGTGAACTATAAAAAGCTACTGACATTATAGAAGTAAAATATGGGATTAGAGTCACATGAGAAAATGTAATTAAATAAGAAAAAGATTTCTACTATGTATTAAAGTTGTGTATGTTTTCCTTATAGAAAACATAGAAATAGAAATAGAAACATTTTGTTTTCTTCCATGTTTAAATCTCATCCATTTTCCTCCTTATGCAAATTTTGGTATGAAGAAAACATAAAGTTCTGTGAATGTTTGTAAAATGCATATTATAATACTTCCTGCTAGAATCCATTTCTATTCTTTTTCTTTCTTTAGTTTGTATATATGTATAAGGAAATCAAGGATCCTTATTTAACATAATCATTATTTTTAATGTTGTTTTATAGGATTAATAAAGGTTATTTTCTTTTCATATAGTAACCCAAATATACTGTTTTATTAGATACTCTTTGCCTCAAAATGACTATAAGTATATGCATATTAGTTCTACCTGTGTTTAGATGCTTATACAATATCAATTCAGGGGCTCTGAATATTTTTATTTTCTCAAAAAATTATATCTGGGGTTGCATTAACTTTTATTTTCTGCAATTAAAGATACATCTGTTTATTTTCTATACTGCAATTCTGGAAACCTTATCAGTCTTTCATACATCAGTGTCAGCAAGATTATAAGGCAGGAATACATTATGATGGAAAAAATTGAGAGTAAAAGGAAAGATGGCAATAATAAAGAGAACTTTGCCTATTTTTTTTCCTGATCTCAGACTACAGAAATATGTGTTTATGTATCAACAACAGGAAGTGAGAAAAAATATTAAATTTTCTACAGGATATTAGATTTTATGTTAGGAATTTTCTATGTTTTATTTATTTAACATAAAAATAGTCTTCAAGATTCAAAGGTTTTTCTCATCACTCTTAAAAGAGAAGAAAACCTCTTTGCAACTGTGATTTTTTTTTTTTTTTCAGTATCCTAACAGAACACAGGAGGCTCAAATCAACAAAACAAGAGCATATAGGCCAAGAAAAGTTTCTTCACTTATATTTTGTCTTTGAAAACAAGCTCCTTGTGGTTTGGGGGAGGAAAAAAAATAACACAATGGTGAAAAGTTGAATCCCAAGAGGATTTATATTGTGATTTTCAATTCCAGCTCACTGCAGTCGACGCAGATGAAGGGTCAAATGGGGAGATCACGTATGAGATCCTGGTTGGGGCTCAGGGAGACTTCATCATCAATAAAACAACAGGGCTTATCACCATCGCTCCGGGGGTGGAATTGATAGTCGGGAGGACTTATGCGCTCACGGTCCAAGCGTCGGATAATGCTCCTCCTGCAGAGAGAAGGTAATTTATATTAGAGCCAATGCAGTCTTTTTGTTGCTCCCGTTTAACCCTATAATTAAATTTAAGAGGCTCGGCAAGTATTCTTTTATCCTGTAAACATCTAAATTAGAACAGAAAATATCAGAGCATTCTTAGGAACTGCGTATTCTTATTGGTTAAATTTTGGGAAGAGGACATTAAAGTTAATATTAAACCACAAAATGATCTCACAGATGAAGGAGGAAGGTCTCTGTTCTAAAGTAGAATTGGAAGATATCAGAGGCATGTTTCCAATTTATTACTCAAAAATAAGGTTGCTGACAGTGAAAGACTCTTTTCTTCAAAGAACTTCACAGATTGTCAGAAGCATGTTATGTGTCAGGATTTTGAAACCACCTCTCAGTGAGTAATTATTAAAATTTATACGTAAAATATAAATGTAAATTATATATACTACAGACATGCATACACACACACAGAGAAGTTTAAAATTTTACTAATACAACTATATTCTTTTAGTTCCCCATTTGATCTCAAACAACAGGAAGTGTTGTTCCTCTTAATAATGAATTATTTCCAAATTTTCAATAGACATTTTAAAAAATATTAATGAATATGAATATAATCTTACACTTTGCTGGATTATTCATCTTTCACAATTTGTCTGTTTTTGGTTTGTGTTTTCATATGAATTCTGAATAAATTCCTCAAATTTTTTCACAGCTATTTAATATTTTTTCATATGTATGTGATTCTGTTTAAGAAGGCAACTTTCCATGGATTTTTTTATTTCATTCTTTTATACTGATAATAGAGAAATAAATAAATTGAACATATATCACTTTGATGAATATGTACAAGTATATAAAAAATTCCCAGTGGAAAGACAAATGAGTATTTATAGTTGTAAATTTTCTTGATAATTGCCAAGTTGCCAGCTATAAAACTTATAGTCTAAAATTTCAACTACAAAGTCTAAAAATGATATTCTATACCATTTCTCTAGTTGTCATTAAGCATTTATTTTTAAACATTTGTTATTCATATTGTCCCTATTCAATAGGTAATATATAGTATCTATTTTTATCCATGTGAGTATATTTCCAATGTTTAATGGCCAATTCTATTACATTTGCTATGAATTCTGGATTCATAAAATTTTGTTTGTTTTTCTATTGATATATTAAGCCCAGCTTACAATTAATCTATATTTTCTAATATTGCTTTTGGGGATTATAATTGTTACTGTAGGTACAATTGTTTTCAAGCCTTTGTTGCATTTGGGAATTATTCTAGTTTACAGTAGGATGTATTGATGCTGCCACATTTTTTCAGTCAATTATCCTGTTGTCCCAAACCAATGTATCGCATAGTTCATTTCTTCACTAATTTGTAGTTTCATTGGTTATATCATAATTATAACATATATTCCTTATGTATTTGGATTTGGGTCTATTCTATTCCATTATTCATTTATTTTTCATCAGCTATCATCATATAAGATTTCATTTCTGTCCTGATGGACAGTTTTGAAGGGCACTGTAGGCAAAGAATTTATATACAAAACCACCATTAGAACATTTTAGAAAAAAAGTTTCTGATACTTATACCAAATATCTAGCAAGAATGGAGATGAAATTGTCATAAATATAAATAAACCTCAGGTGTTTGATTAAGGTGACTTGGCAATGGTATTGTCAAAATAGCACACATGATTTGAGGACATGAGTTCAATTTTGGGCACACTCATTTTGGATGTAGCCATTGTTAATATACCAGAAAAACAAATAAGTATAGATGCCTAAAATGATAAAATGATTAAATGCTATTTCTTGAAAGAAAAAGTGGAATATTTTTATATATTGAGTAGTTATGGAATTTAAAATAAGTGTGAAATAAAATTTAAATTAATTTCAAATAGCTTAATTGAGGATGAGTTATTCTAAGAGGAATTAAAGATTATTAATAATACTGAGCATGCACTAAGGCCAAACATGCTATCATTTTACATACATAATTTCTAATTTTAATAACATTGTGAATGTTTGTATAATTATATTTATTTTTTAATCTAGAAATCTGAGAATGAAATAGGATAATTTACTTGACTAAACACTTCATCTAGCAACCTTTAGCTCTGCAATAAGCAAGTAGTAGAACTAGAACTTGAACTGAGATATGCTGGATTCAAAAACTTTCTCCTCCCACTCTGTTCTATATCCATAAACTCTGTGGTTATTATTTTAGAAAAAAGATACTACAATTGGTTATTAGCAACAAAATAATTCTAATAAAAAGAACAAGTTTACCTTTTTTTACTTGAAGTTTCAATAAGGTCCTTTCATGTTCATCAATTTATTTTAAATTCTAATTTTTCTCCATCAAACACAGTGCTGTGTCAAATGTTTCTGATCTGAGGTGTATATACCAATATGTTACTATTACTATGACTGATTGCTATGTTTTTGTTTGTTTTGTAATTGGGAGATGAACTCAGCAGTGCTTTACCACTGAGCTACATCCCCAGTATCTTTTATTTTATTTATTTTGAAATAATAATAATACTATAATAATTCAGGTGTCTTACTGTGTTGCAGAGAGTCTTGAGAAGTTGCTTAAGCTGGCCTCAAACTTGAGATCCTTCTTCTTTAGCCTCTTGAGTCACTGGGACATACATCACTGCATGTGGCTAAATGAAAAGTTTTAAATTATTATTTTTTGAATAGAGTAGGTGGCCTCTTTTTGTGTAGATTGTTTCAAAACTCCCCAGTGACTTTCTGAAACCTCAGGTTATGCTAAATCCTATATATGCTATATTTTCTTCCTCTAAATGCATAAGTACATATTTTTATAATACAAAATGTATTATAAGAAAATTTAATTAGTAATTTAAACACATAAAATGTCAACAATAATATGAATAATAATAAAATAGAAAAATATCACACTGAAATAAAATTGTCAGCATCAGTACTCTTGCACTTTGGGGCCATTATCAATCAAAATAGGGGTTATTTTGGGCTGGGGTTATGGCTCAGCAGTAGAGGGCTGGTCTTGCATGTGTAAGACACTGGGTTTGATCCTCAGAACCACATAAAACTAAATAAACAAAATAAAGATATTTATAAAAATAGGGGTTACTTCAACACAAGCATTACAGTATCAAAATAGTCCATGTGATAACTGAAATGGCAACTAAGCAACTGATGGGTAGTGAGCATATACTCTGTGGATATGCTGGAAAAAGGCATGACTAATGTCACACAAACAATGGAAAGGGGTGATGTAAGAGTTCATCCTGCTATTCGGAATGGCATGCGATTTAAATCGTAGGAATTGTTTATGTCTAGAATTATTTTTAGGTAAAATTTTTGGACTGTGGTTGTCTGTGAGCAACTGAAAAAACAGAAAGCAAAAAAAACACAGATAAGGGGGATAACTGTATTTAATAAATGAGATTTCATAATCCACAGCTTGCTCAGTTCCTATTTGCAAGTTGTTATCTATCACCTCTTTGCCTGAATAAGCTGTTAACCTGTATTGATCAGTACAAGAGTAGATTGTACCTGAGTAAAATTGTATTCCTCTCTGGGAAACAAAGGGCTGCCTTCAGAATCTAATTGCTATGTCCTTTCACTGATACCAGGCATAGTTGACCTAACCTCTCTTTTTCTTTTTTAAGAAAATGGGTTGGATACTAAAGGATCACCTTATAGTGTGAGGTCAAACGTCAGGTGGGAGCTGCAGAGAGTAAAATCCATATACCTTCATTTCACTTGCTGGGATAATGTCCTGTGCACTGCAGATGATGACATTTGCAGTTTTTCTGGAGGGAAATGAATCCTTCAAATTAAGTTGATGAATGAACTGTGTTGTGAGGTTTTGCTTTTAGTTTGCTTTATGAAGAAGATGCCATTTTTAAATTATGAACATAAAAATATAGGTTATGATATACTTCATAGATTGACCCAGACAGCCACAGTATTAGCTAAATGTAATTAAATAAAAGCATCAAAAACAATAGTAGCAGTGTTCAAAATTTGAGGAAATTTCCATATTAGTTTTCTTTCAGATTGGTAACTTCAATTTAGAAATTTAAATAACATTGAGTCTCAAAGTATCCAAGATGAATTTACTGTTTATGTGTCTGTTATTTCAGTTTGGTAAAGGATCTAAAGATTCAAAGTGAGAAAAGAAATAGCCTATAATTGACTTTTTTGGTGCTCATTTGTTTTAGGCTTTGATGAGAAGATGAGTAGAGACAAAAGGTAAAAGCTAACAGAAGTCATAAAACATTCTGGGGTATTGTTAACACTAATTGTGTCTCTAACTCACCTTCTTAGTATATAATTCAGTTAAATTGAGTAAATATTTATTAAGTTCTGGTGTGAATAAAGCATGACTGCTAGGTATGTATGAATATGTAAGAAAAAATAAAAGGCCCTGCTCCTAAACAGCTTCTAATATTTGTTGTAAAATGATTGTTTGATAGAGGACATATCATTTTCCCCACTTAATTTTTGGAGTCCAAGGTTATATATAAATAACATATAATTAAATAATCTATTCTCCAATTGAATAATTTTCCACTGTGAAAATATAGTCTTTAAATAACTTTATGTGCTATATTTAACATTGATAAAGACATGATAAATAAATATTGATTTATTTTAACAAAAATTTACTTGCTTTGCACAAGTCCTAGTCTCTTGGGTAGGCACCGGAAATAGAGGTAACATGAGACCTCTGTCCTCATGGCACTCAGAAGATAGCAGAAGAGAATGTCAGGCTCACATGTAAAGGGGTAGTAATAGAATATCCATCTAGGGGAAAAAAGAACAAGATATTGGAGACACAGAAAAGCAAAGCTGTGGGAACAGGAATGGTTTGACACATTTAATCATATCATTGACCTGCTTAAAATTTGTCAACCATTCCCCATTACAAAGATGAAGTTTGATTTGATAGGATTTGCGAGAGCCCTACATCTCCAATCATAACTGCAACTGCTGTTCCAAAAATAACCATATTTTTAGCTTTATAAAACTTATAGTTTTCTAGTTTTTTTCTCTGTGAATTTGCACATATTTTTCCTGTCTGTAATTCCCTACTGTTTTTATATGTAAATACATTTTACATTTTAAAATTCTTCCCCTGAATTTCCCTAAGAGTTTATCTTTGACCTCTTATGTTGGTTTTAAATCTGAGGTCTACTGTGGATTGATATTTGTACTTTCAAAATAGTAGAACAGAATCAATGAGCATTGAACTCTAAGTATAGCTTTTTTAGGACCACGTTTGTGAGAAAGGAAAAACTACAGTAATTTCTTTAAGTCTATTGAGGAAGGCAATATAAACACCTGTAACCTTTGTCATAGAAACAACATGGTTGAAATGTAGAGTTACAAATAGACATAACACATGTTGACATATTTAATAGAAAATTGTATAGAAAATAGCAAATATTTTACAATCCTCTAAATGCCAGCAACATTCTCTCGTTACTGATTATTATTATAATATGACAAAAGTTTGACTTTAATTTGTACCATTTCCAAAGTTAAAGCAACATAGGTCCATCCTTATACCTCCCCTTTATTCATGTTTTATTTTATTTATTTTATTCTTAAAGTAGTTGCGTTTGGGCCTGGAGTTGTGGCTCAATGGTGGAGCACTTGCCAGGCATGTGTGAGGCCCTGGGGTCAATCCTCAGCACCACATATAAATAAATAAATAAATTAATTAATTAATTAAAAGGTCTATTGACAACTAAAAATATTTTTTTTAAAAAATGGTTGCTTTTGATGATGTTTCATTCCTGGTATAAATAATTAAAAATTGTAATTTCATAGTCTGAACCCAAGAGTTGAAATAATTTATGTCATCATGTGACAGAAACATGATGGTTTGTTAAAAACCAAGAATGTTTTATATTCACACACATCAGATGAGTAAAAATTCTCCAGTGTATTTCCTAAATTTGTTCTTCTGAGATGAAAGTTTTTCCTTTTTTCAAGCAAAGTCTGAATGTTAAAATCTTGCTTTTTTAGTTTATCTGTTTTTGCTAATTAACTTTGTAAACTTAATTCAGTGACTTATTATTTCTGATTTTTAAATGATCTTTATAAAACTATCTACCCAAATTAGATGATGTAAAGTCTTTAAAATCATAAGATTATTTGAGAAATGCATTACCTCTTTTTGTTCTTCTTTGACCTTTAATACCGAATGTGAAAGAATAAAGTATAATGGTTTTCGTTTTTGGAAATAGAGATTTATATACATCAAACCTCTTTATACAAAATAAAATTTGGTTATATAAATGTTCAGTTTTATGTATTTAGAACTGGAAATAAAATGTAAACATGAAATACATAAAATATTATTTACTTAGTGTATCATTTATGTGTTTAAATGATGCTGTTGAAATACTACTATTTATTACAACATGAATGTTATCATTTTCTTGTTAATACTGTTGTTTTTCAATTTAGGAAAGCTAACTCTGACACTCTGTTGACATCAGTAATAAAAAGAAGATATCATTTTAAAAGGCAATAACCCTCAAGATAGTGCTTATTTAAACACATTGAAGGGAAGTGCCAAGATGTTGAAGATGATAGTAACCTTGAAATGAAATTTTTCCAAAACTCTAAGATCAAAGTCCAAGAAGGAAAATAACATAATTAGTAAATATAGCATAAATTATTTAGAAAGTGGAAGGTGAAGCAAACAACTAAGGGTAGATGAAGGTAACAGTCGCATTGGACAAAAGCTGCTCTGTGTTCTGCCCAAGATCACACAGTGGCAGCACCAAAAGTGTCATCTGAAAATGTCTGAGCACAAATCCTGGCCTCAATATCACCTGCCTACAGTTATCAACAATAGTTATGTAAGACATAGTATGCATAGAGAATAATAAGTCCAATGTTACAGAACATATGCATAGAGAAGATACAGTCAGGAAAAAAGAAGAGACATAAAATTACTGAATGACTTGATAAATAGTACATTAAAACAAGCCAAGATTCGCAAGGGTAAAAATATCCAGGAGGATGTACCTCTTGGTGCGGCTGTTGGGTTCCATTCACCATCTAGAAGGATATGAATTCTACCTCCAAATTAAATCCCACTGTTCTCACAATATGAGAATTGGGAGTCTCTGTAAATTTCTATTCTTTGTAAATTTCTATTATTTTATTTTCATATGAATTAAAGTTTATAAGCAACATTTCATTTATTTTAACCTATTTTAAACACTCTGAACCTTATAGGCTAAATTTACTATTAACAATTTTAATTATTTTATATATTAGTACATGTAAATAAATTATTTTTATTATCTCATACATTCATATATGAAAAAAGTAAAATTTTATTAGGAAATTTTAATAGTAAAATGTTAACTCAGATGCAATAATGAATATAGGTATCATAATTGAATACAAGAGTCTAAAATTTGAAATAAACTTACTTTGCAACAATAAATGCAAGAATGAAATTCTCTAAAGTCATGTAGCTTTTCAGTGATGCCTAATATCCTGTGGCTATATGTCTACTGAGGATCTGCTCAGAAACAACTTAAATTACAGGATATTACAAAGTGACAAGATATAAAACTAAATCTCAGTGCTCATGATCTGTGTTTCAGTGAAAAGATTTTCAAAAATTAGGATGGCATACTTAATCTGAGAAAAATGTGTTTGGTGATCATGTCTTTCAATTGAAACACTTATTAAAGACTTTGAGAAAACAAGAACATTTTAGCCCCAAACAGAAACCATAATTAATATGTTTTAAACTAAAAATAATGATTTTGTTAAAATAATGTTTAAAGCATATATTTCAGGCCATGTTAGTATGTTTACATAAGATGCATATGTATTTCAAGATGGAGGACTACCTTTTTGTAATTTATAAAATTTTATAATTTATATATTTTTGCCAGTGTTTCTTTATAAACTTTGCTTCTTCAGTTTTTATTATGGAAAAAAAAAGAGTTTAAGATGTCAAAAACATTTCTGTCAGTGTTATTTCTTTTATGCTTGTAATAACAAAGTATTTTCTTATTCTTCAAGAAAATTATGGGTCAAGAAAGGCATTAATTAAATCTCATCTTTTAGTTTTTTCATATTATACTCTTTAAACAAAGACAGTAAAACCCATTTAGTTTTGTTTTCAACTGTTTTTTGTAAGAATTAATTTATGTTCTTGACTCTACATATACTTACATTAAGTCACTGGTGTCAGCTACAGAACTAACAAACAGTCCATAATTTGCTTTTGTGTGGTATTTTAATCAATACTTCCTCTGCTGGTTTAATAGGAAGAGAGCTCAAAGGACAGCTCCTATTACCAGATGTTTATAGAATATTTTTTTGCTATTAAAAAAACATTGAAAAATAAAGTCAAAAGTCAAGCCATGTTAATTTATTAGCTTTGTTGTATAGCTATTACTTTTTAATTTGTACTTTTACCTAAGTTAAAAAAATACAGAAATAATTCCTTTCCTTTTTACTAAGATAATTTTGTAGAAGTGTTATGTTTCAGAGGAAGCTTTTATTTTTCTATCCTTTCAAGCTGATTTTACTATTTTCTATGAAAGTTTGAAAAGCTTTTGGCCTATAAAACCCCAAAATGATAAAAGGTTCAGTTTATCTTTAAATGCTATGTAGCTTTTTAAACATCTTGTTCACTTCTCATTTTCTGCAGGCACTCCATCTGCACAGTGTACATTGAAGTGCTTCCTCCAAATAATCAAAGCCCTCCCCGCTTTCCACAGCTGATGTACAGCCTTGAAATCAGTGAAGCCATGAGGATTGGTGCTGTTTTATTAAATCTACAGGTATGTTTGGCAACACACACACACCCCTTCTAAAGTGACAAGCTGGAGACTAATGAGTTTATATTTGTTCTTTAGGGGCTGAGAGGGTGGGTTGCATGCCTGCTTGTATTCTAGAGAATAAAAATTCCATCTGGAAAGGAAAGCAAGCATAATATGGATGTAGGGTTTGCACAGCTAATCTATTCTATTGATTGCCACAATGAAGAACCAACGTTTGGCTGGCAGGGATTAGCTGTAATCATTACAGGAGAAAATGAAGGGATTGGAAACATGCACTTGAATATTTTATACTTTGCAACTAAAGAGTTTGCAGCTGACTATTATTTTCTGTCTTGGGTGCCCTTGCCCAGCTGGATTTATTTTTGCTACAGTGTTGTATAGGGAAATAACCTTAGACTCAAAGGTTGATGATAGGCATTCTGACTCTAAAGCAAACTCTATTCTATGGTTGCAGGCTAGTCTTATAATTACGTGCCTTGGTGTATTTATTTAGATAAGAAGTGTATATTTAGCTGATGTTTCTATTTCCAGTTCAGAATTCATGGGCATATGAGTTACATGCAAGATGATATCTTGGTTTTTACTATTTATATATTCCTGATCAAAGCACATTTGACCAGTTAAGGGTGTATCTTTGACTGAATATGCAGCTCCAGTTTGTGCTACATATGGTGTCAATAACTATCACTTGCTACAACAATCATAGAACCATAGCATGACTATTGTTTTACCTATGGGTATTCAGAGGACAGAGTTTATCTTTTCTTTGAGTTACATGGAAATGGAAGAATTTTTAAATATGAAAATTTAGGGAGCTGGCCCTTAAGATTAGGAGAGATTTTAATATGAATAGAAGCAGAAAAGTTCTAGCATCATTCTAGGAAGTTACATAAGGTACAGTTACATCATGCACAAATCCATTTGAATACTGACATGTTCTCACTCCAATCCTGATTAATTAATAATTCCATAGAATTATTCCATAGTATTGAAAATAATGTGAAAATTAAAAAAACAAAAACAAAAACAAAACACCAGCCTATATCCCAGATGTGGAAAGTGAACTTTATAAAAAATAATTGATGCTTAAGATCAGTGAACTGAATTTTCCACACTTCTAAAACAAGTCTCTTTCCATTATATCTCTCTGGTTATCCATGGCTGTCACAATTTGGTTGGCTTTTCCAGGTACTTCTCTGTAGCTCTCCTCAAATATTTATTTCGTTTTTATTCTGCAGGTGATTAAAAAGAGTTTGATTTTATTGTCTACTTACTATTAGAACATAAGGGAAATGCAATTGCATAAAAGAAAAAAATATCACTTCTTCAGGATAGAAAAAGCAGCTAGTCAAATTATTACAATGATATAGAATTGGAAAACCTAATATTAAGAAACATGAGTGTAATAAAATAATGAAAATTTGTTTCTTTATATTCATGAGGATTCATTTATTGAAACAAAAAGGAAAATAAAATAAATCTTAGATTTCTAAGCTTCTTGTCAGAAATTACATGTTTTATCTTTAAATCCTCTATAACAATGTTCCTTTATATAATTTAACTTTCTATGAGGTAAGCCATAATTTTTCTCATAAGGTGGCCCAGGTTTTTTTCAATAAATCCCAGAAAGATCTAGGAAGCATATTATAGGAGAATAATACTAGCTGTGAGTTAAAGATGAAAAGGAGTTGGCCTTTTCATATCTCAGATTTCTCAGGCACAAAGGCTGAAAAAATACTTACAATGACATTTCTATTCACGCTTTGTGCTGCTGGTGGAAGCAAAAGAAAGGGTGCCAATTGCACTGGCAGTCACTATTAGAAAGAATGAGGGTGACACCATCAAGGTATTTTTCATAGGCCACCAACCACCCACTTTTGTTCCTGATCAACTGAGACTGAGTTTAAACGAGTGACCTAAAATTTGAAAAGCTTCCATCAAATTACTCTTCCAAAGACTTCCAAAAAGGGGATGTGTTAGAGGTTCTCTGACTGCCTGTCCCCCATCTACCCTCATCAGCTTCTCACATGTGGTACCACATTTGCTGACTCATTGCTCAGTTCAGAAAGACATGGAACTGTAGAAGACAGCAGTGGACTGGCTCCCAAATAACCTTGTTTTGACTGAGATCAAAGTGATTTATTTTCAGATAACGGTCCTTGTTTCTCTTCCCACCTGATTTCAAGAACCTTCCTTTTCTTCCGTCCAAAAGATGTTTGGCAGGCTGCAGTGTTTCTCTTTGTATTAATATTGTGTTGGTGATTACTGAACTGATGGCATTCAGTACAGGAAAATACTAAACAAACCTCTGCCCTCTCAGACCTCTCATACTGACTGAAAGGAAAGCCAGGAACCAGGAGAGGGGTGAGCAAGAAATGAAAGACGGAGACCAGGCAGAGATACACAGGAGAGTATATTTGTCAAAGCTGACAAATACAGGCCATCTCTCCATAGATGGAGAGAGGTAAAACAGGCTTGGGGTTTGGAACTTTTATGGGGCAGGCTCAAGGATTAGAGGTGGGCAGGTCCTAATGTGGGCAGTGAAGGGTTGGGTTGGTATGAGGGAGTGGTGAGCTTTTCTCAGAAACACTCTTGGTCTGGAAAGCAAAATTTTTCTTAAAATGGCAGCTGTCACTTAAGATGGCTGTCCAGATGCTAAGCAAGGACCTTACTCTCCCCCGTTTTGTTTGTTATTGGGCCCCTTAAGGGAAAAGGTGCAGATCAATCTTCCATAGCTTCTTTCTGCTGCAAAGGAGTGGTGTCTGGACCCTTGTTAGCGATTCAGGGTGTCACTGAGGCAATGGTGATGGCCAGGAGGTGCTGGGCAATGCTGGCTCTGGATGACTCAATTTTGGTGAGGGGTTGGAAGTCCTGTAACAGAAGCTGGTTCACTGTTTGGTTAGAGAGCTTTTGAATCTGGTTGTGAATAAATCTAATGACAGGAGAGAGGTCAGGAAAGGAAGTGTCCACTGGAGAAGGGGGTTACTTAGCTGTCTTCCTTCAGTTCCAATGATAGTGGAACGCTCTGAGGCCTGAAGGAGATCAGAGATAAAGGGGACATTAGTAATTGAAGTTCCCATGGTGGTAAGGAATCTGCACTTCTTCCAAATAGCAGAATGGGAGAGAAGTAGGTGGAAAGTGTATTTAGAGTCAGTGTAGACATTTAGGGAGGTTCCCTTTGCCAAAGTCAAGGCTCTGATGAGGGCAACAAGTTCCGTCTGATAATTGAAAGTATTATTGGGGAGGGGAGCTGCTTCCACAACCGAGGTTAGAGAGACTATAGCATACTCTGCCTGACCAACTCCCTCCTGAAGGAAGGAGGAGACTTCTGTGAACCATGTGTATGTTGCCTGGAGCAAGGGGCCTTCCTGTATTTGGGAGGAATGTAGAAGAAGCTCCTTCAGAGTTTCAATGCATAAATGGGTAAGAAGAGAAGAGGTAGAAGGGTCCTGAGGAGCAGGGAGGAGAAAAGCAAGATTTAAAGTTGAGCACGTGTGGAAACTAAGACTGGGATCTTCTACCAGGTAAATCTGTAGAGATAAAGGCGACAGGGGGATAAAGAATGTAAGCTCTTGTAGGTGAGGAGTTCCTTTAATTGCTGGGGAGCCAGGATGGTGATTTGGGCCCAAAGGTGAGTTTCTTTGACTTGTTAATGAGAGGCTGTGGCCAATGTTCTTAGGCTAGGGGCTTATCCCCAAACAGCAGAGTCAAGACCCATCAATAGATAAGCCACAGGGGCAAAGGTTGGCCCCAGCATGTGTCCAAGTACCCCTAGAGAAAATTCCTGCTTTTCAGCTGCATAAAGATGAAATGGGCTTGTGAGATCAGGGAGATATAGAGAAAAAGTTTTGAAGTCATTCTTCTGTATTGTATCCAAGGGAAAAGTTAAATTGATACTTTTTTTTCTTCCTCAGACCTCTTATCAAGCCTGCTGAATCTGTCCTTTGTATTTCAATGTTAGCTTCAGTGTGGCCTTGGCCAGTGCTTTACAATGTAGGGGAGTTCTGAGTCCCTTGTTTGTCTAGAACTAAGGTCTCTGGAGGAATCCAGAACTTTAGTGGCAAGTAGAAGCGGAGCAGGGGAGCAAGAGGAGCAAAGGGAAGACTTAGAATAGAGAAAGAAGAAAGCAAGCACATAAAGGATTTTCTTCCATTTTCCTGAGTGCTCGCAAAAATTAGAAATATTGGAAGGTTCAATAGGTCAATGGGCCTTCAGAGCAGGAGCCAAATGGAGTGGGGCTAAGTGGATGAGGAGGCAGCTGAGAGGTGAGTCAGATGGAATTTGGGAGTTCCCTGTGGTGAGCTGGAGTCTGGGACCCAGAGAAGGGAGTCACCCGCTACTTCCCTATTCCTGGGCTTTTCCTGTAGAGAGCCTTGGTTGTCTGGCCAGAGCTTTCGTGAACTCTGCTGATGAGCTGAGAACCAACCCTAGAGTGAACTTGCCAAGGGGAAGAAATGGTAAAGTCAAGCAAGACTCTCCATGCTGGCCCAAGATCTAAGTTAACTTTCACTGCTGTCTCTAGGGAGTAAACTTGTGAGGAGGAGGGGAGGGGATGGGCAAAGTCGCTTACCCAAATGAGACCAGAGTGTGAATGAAGAAGAAGATCACTTGGTGAATGGAAGAAGGTGTGTGGTAATTGTCCTGGGCCCTCACACTAGGATGCCAAAGCAGCTCAAATCCCAGAGGGGAGAGCGAAGCCAATGGGAAAATGTGAACCAGTCACTGACATCAATGAAAGAAAAGTGGTGCGCGGGACTAATCACACACACAGCGGGATAAGAAGCAAGTTTATTGTCAGGAGCCTGACAAGGCTGCCCTGCAAAAAAGAGAGGGACAGCAGCAACAAGGAGGGAGAGCAGTATTGTGATTGGGCCAGAAAATGGAGGGAGGTTTTGAGACGAATGTGAATGGGTGCCTTGTGTGAGGTGATAGAAGAGCTAGAAACATCCCAGACAGTAGGGTCCACCTTGGAAGGGGGTAATGGGAAAGTACTGGCAGAT